CAATCTCATGCGCCCTTACTTTATTCCCTCTGCTGCTTACAAAGCTCTTTTCCCCCACTGTCCCTTCTTCTATACACCCTTCAAACCACCCTGATTAGATGCAGTTCTCATCATTATCAGTTAAGCATACCTTATCTGTAATGCTTAGGACTAAAACCGTTTCATATTTCAGATTTTGGAATATATGCATTATACCAGTTGAGCATCCCAAATCTAAAAACATTTCCTTTGAGTATGTCAGTGTCCAGAAAGTTTGGGGTTAGGGAGCATTTCAGATTTCTAGATTTGGGATGCTCAACCTGATACTCATAATGTTACATTTACATGTACAGTTATTTGATTATTGACTCTCTTCACCAGACTAACAAAGACTTTACAGAGAAATGATCCCCCCCCACCATTATGACTGGGTGCAGTGCTGTGAGCATAATAGGTGCTCAATAAGTATCTATTGAACAAATGAACAATTTGCCAAAGAGAAATTTGCCAAAACCATCGATCACAGGTAGAAAAGGGGTATGAGACAACAGTAAGTGAACAGAAGCAAAAGAAAGTAGGGGAAATAAAAAATTCAACACAAGCTGTAAGCTATAAAAGGTAACAGAATTAGTATTTTACTTAGTAATTATAAAAATGTAAAATATATTTTAGAACAAAGGTATCAAACAGACATCTCAAATTTAATAGGACCAAGTGGTGCTATTAATTTCCTCCTTATTCTCTGGCGTCTTCTCCATTTCAGTAAATGGCATTTTCTCCAATCCTCACCGTACAATTCATCAATACATATAAGCTCTATATCTAAACATATCTTTGATCTATCCATTTCTCTTCCCCAACTTCCATTGGCACGATCCTAATTCAAGCCCCTATCACTTCCACCCAGACTATTACAATATTATCTTATCTCCTTGTTTTATTTTATTTCATTATTTATTTATTTGAGATAGAGTCTTACTTTGTCACCCTCTGTAGAGTTCTGTAGTGTCACAGCTCACAGCAATCTCAAACTCTTGGGCTTAAGTGATCCTCTTGCCTCCATTTTCCAAGAAGCAGGGACTACAGGTGCCTGCAACAACACTCAGCTATTTTTTTTTAGAGAGGAGGTCTCGCTCTGGCTAAGTGTGCTTTCGAACTCATGAGCTCAGACAATCTACCTGCCTCCGCCTCCCAGAGTGCTAGGATTACAGGTGTAAGCCACCGCACCCGGCCTATCTTCTCCTCGTTTTTAATCTTCATAGACTTCATTCCCCAGAGCAGCCAAAGTGATTTTTCAAAAAGGTAAATCCTATCATGAAGTCCCCTTACCTCAAACTCTTCAATGACTTCCCATGACTGAGAATGAAATAAAAATTCTTCATGATCCTGCATGAAAGATCTCCTGTCTCTAGTGTCACTCTCTCCTTTATTTGCTGTATTTCAGCCAGAATGACCTTTTTGGAACCATTTATAACCTCTGAACCTCTATACATATCGTATCCCTTTCCATACTCTGAAGCATCTCTTAGTTAGGGTGTTTGTTTAACTCAAGAGTCACTTCCTCAGGGATGTCATTCCTGACTTTAACACAAAGTAAAATGGCTTCTCTATCATTACTGCTTCTTCTTCCATAGTCTTTATCATAGTTATCATCTGTTTTATTCCATGAACAACAAGGATGTTCCAGGTGCAATAAACATATGTGAACAGACAGTTATTGCTTCCACAAAGCTTATGACAGACTTGACTTAGTAAAACTAAAAAGAAACAAAGGCCCAGACGCCATGGCTCATGCCTGTCATCCTAGCACTCTGGGAGACCAAGGCAGGTGGACTGCCTGAGCTCAGGAGTTCGACAGCAGCCTGAGCAAGAGTGAGACCCTATCTCTAAAAAAATAGCCAGGCATTGTGGTAAGCACCTGTAATCCCAGCTACTGTGGAGGCTAAGGAAAGAAAATCACTTGAGCCCAAGTTTGAGGTTGTTGTGAGCTTTGATGCTGCGTCACTCTACCAAGAGCAACAAAGTAAGACTCTGTCTCAATAAATAAATAAATTTATTGTGTGATAAGTGCTAATACAAAAACTAAAACAGTAAAAGGTAATGCCATGTGTTTGTGAGTGCAAACATGGGTGGCACCATGACATTTTCAGGAGGGTATGAAGTCTGAACATACCTGAATAAAGTGAAGAAGGGAACTACATGAAAATGTGAAGTAACATACAGTTTGATAGAAGAAATGAGGAGATAAGATCTAGTGTTAGGACACAGGGTAACTATATAATAATCTACCATACATTTAAAAATAGCTACAAGAGAATACTTTGAATGTTTTTAGCATAAAGACCCGACAAATATTTAAGGGGATAGTCCAGGTACACTGATTTGTTACAAATTATATGAACGTATTAAAGTATCACATGCACCCTGAAACTATGTATATATCTATGATACATCAATAAAAATAAATTCTCAAAGCTGGGGTAACACTGTCCTAAATAGATTTTTTTTACTTATTGATAGTCTTTTCCATTAAAACCTAAGTTCTACGAAGACAGGGACTTTGACTATCCTATGCACTGTTCTTTTTTTTTTTAAATGATTTATTATTTTTTTCTTTTTTTTTTTTTTTTTTTGAGACAGAGTCTCAAGCTGTCACCCTGGGTAGAGTGCTGTGGCATCATAGCTCACAGCAACCTCCAACTCTTGGGCTTAAGTGATCCTCTTGCCTCAGGTTTTCTATTTTTAGTAGAGACAGAGGTCCTCTTCTGGCTGAGGCTGACCCGTGAGCTAAGGCTCTGTAACCCATGAGCTAAGGCAATCCACTGTCTTAGCCTCCCAGAGTGCTAGGATTACAGGTGTAAGCCACCTATGCACTCTTCTATTCACCTTGGTACAGGGACTAATAAAGTAGGCTGCTATAAATATCTTACAAGTGAATGAAAACCTACCTCCATTTTTCAAGAAGTCTACTGTAAAGGAAAGAAAGGATAATATGTATATGTTTGAATATAAAATCCTAAGAGACCATGGAAAACATTTTGAAAACTTTTAACATAAAACATAATGTACTGCAAATTACGGTGGACAATTTCATCATCAGAAGTGTAAAGAACCAGAGGAATCTTGTAAAGTTAAACAGAAAACAGATGTAGTAATAAATATCATTTGTTTATTTGGCAAGATTCAATATAATATATGAAAACTGGTTATGAAGAACTGAAATCCTTCCTTTTTCTTAGGCTCATGTGCTAAACAAGTTACCATATGCTTTCTTTATACTACACACCTGTACATTCAAAGACCCTTAAATCAGAATACAAGTGACAGTTTGAAACTCACATCAACTCTATATCTGTTGGCTTTACTTATGCTTCTTTATTTTTCCTACGTTAATCCAATCAGAAGTCAAAGTGAACAGTAAGTCTAAAGAAGCCCCAAATTTACTACAGCACAAAGTACAATCATCAGCATATGCAATAAGCACCAGTGAGTCATCTTTTGAGTTTCCAATTCCAAAACAAAATCAGTACCCTGTAGTAGTAGCACTACAGCTGCACCAGGTCAACCTCTTGACAGGTACCTATCCTGCACGATCCAGAAGGGAGGTAATAGGGAATGAGTCCAAAAAACTCACAAGCTTTTCCTATCTGCTTACCAGAAATCTCATATACAGCTCTTACCACTTTTAGATAAAGGCTGCCTTGCACAGCAAGATCATTTCCCCCTTCATTATACTCCATCAGTCCCTATTCTTCCGTTAGACCAGTGGTTCTTAACCTTCCTAATGCCGCCCCCCTTTAATACAGTTACTCATGTTGTGGTGACCACCAACTATGGCATTAGGTGGCAGCATTAGGAAAGTTGAGAACCACTGTGTTAGACTGAGTACCCATCACTAATACTGAGTACCCACTGTGTTTCAGGCACTGTTTGAGGGAGGTGCTGTTAGTAAAGAAGGTGACAAGGTGTTTGATACCTTTTTATGGAGACTATTACCACTAAGGTTCTTTCTTAATTTTAAGTTAACTGGTACATTCTTAACTCAGTAATGTTTCTAAAGTTATTTGTTTAAGTATCGTTCATGACATACTGCAATGAAAGCCGTCTTTGCAAAATAACCCAAACAGTAGATAATTCTTCATAAAAACTGCACAGCAGAGAGGCTCATTTTCTTAAATACCATATTTATAAACTCAATTACCAGTGCAAACACTGAACCCATAGTCAAATTATATAATGTGAGCATTTTTTTAAGTTACTGGTCCACAACTGCAATCATATTTAGCTGTTTTGGAGTCCATACACATGGGCAAAAAGCCAATTTTGTTACTCATTACCACTATCCCCAACAAAAACATACAGCTTTTCTTAAAACTGGCTTAGTCCCCTTAAATGTTTAACTTTCCCCTCACAAGTGAGTAAAACACCAAAACTTTCTTCGTGAGCTTTAGCGATGGTCCCCAAATTGACATCGTTAACCTCATTCTCTCTGTACAATTAAATTATTTGGTAAAACAGTTTTGGCAAAATGCATCCCATAAGAATATCGGACAAGCCCAAACCTAGTCTGGACACTGGCTGCCAAAGGAAGCAGAAGGAGCAGGGGCTCTAACACAGGCCTGCCCTGAACTTACCCTTCCCCTCCGACTTGGACCGGCCCCCACTCGTACCCAACCTCAGCAACTGGAAACTTTCCGTGAACACCAAAAAGGATCTCAACTGCAGGCTGCTCTCATTCTTAGGCCACCACCAAAAATGTTCTAAAAAGTCAAAAAGACTCCAGCGCGCACTCTGAAAGGCCGCGCGCCGCTCCCGATCCACCCGCGCCCCTCGGCCCCCTCGGCCCCGCTGCCGAGCTGCGGGCTCGAACCCGGCGCGCCCCGAACACGTTCCCTCCCGCCATGGCCGTCCCTCGTCCCCCCGCCGCCCACCCAGCAAAGAAAACTGAACATCCCGCCTTCCCAGGGCCGCGTTTTCCCGTATTTCTTCCCCGCACCCCGCCAGGGCAGAAACAGACGTACCTTCCAGAAAAGTAGTTTCCCCAGCTTTGCCTCCGCTCTTGCCGGCCGCCATCTTCCTCCTCCCACGCCGCCGCCGCCGCCTTAATCCATGGCCCACCCCGCCGCCGTGCTCGCCGGGATGAGGGGCCGCGCCGCAGGAGGGTAGCCGCCGCAGGGTTGCGGGCCTCGGGCTCGGCCGGCGGGCGGGCGGCGCTCCCGCTTCCACACGGGCCTACACAAAAGCAGGCCGGGCGCGCCCGGGCCTGTCCGCGGGCTGGCGGGCGGCGAGGCCCGCGGCCTGCGCTTCTCCTCAAGCCCCTCCGGGGGAACGCGAGC